TAGATGAACATCACAATTGTTTCTTTCTGCTGTCTTTTTAAACCAAGGATGATGGTTAAAGTGTCGTCAAGCTCATAAGGCCGTGCGTTCAATGTGTGGATGACCAGTGAAACGTAAATGGAGAAGAGTGTGGGGGGCCCACAGTCCTCCTCCCCTGCCAAGAGGCCCCATAATCCTTACCAACACCCCTGCTACATTTCAGAAAACGCTTCGTGCCACAGTGGGCTTCAGATCACATTTGTAAGCCTTTATGTAAACCTGCAAAGTGGAGACAGCATTCCACCAACATGCAACAGATCATCAGCCAGTCATCAGTGTTTCCAGCGCTGACAAGAGGACAGCCCACTGCAGGATGACAAAGTCCAATGCAACGGGGGCTGGCAAGTGTCGTGATTGAAATTCTCCCAGAACAAAACCTCGTTTGTTTGATTATTGTTCGCCAGGCTCGCAATGAGGCAAAAATCCATTCCACATGATGCATTCATTGTTTTGAGCCAAACACGCACCAGGCCCCACGGCAGCCACAGCTACTGCCCAATGGCCCTCACCAAAAACAACGGAAAGCCTACTGCAACATTTAGGAGGGTCCGGTACAACTGTCCGCACCATCCTTTATGGATATTACACTATTATTGTAGTTAAGGTGTGACATTAGAGCTTACAAATGTAACTTTCTAAACTCAGTATTGAGTTTCTCAGATGTAACTTATCATAAGACCGTTGCATTTAAATAGCAATAAACTCAACATGTGTGCAATAAATGCATTACTAAGAAACAGGCACACTCCTATACCACCACATCAGTATTTCACAGGAACACAAGTGTGTTTTCTTCACAATCAGAGTCAGGTCGTTGCAGTTTGAGTCACCTTTCAACAGGTGACGAAGCAATAAAATCCTACTGCCGTTTAAAGGCGAAGAGCAACAGATACAGGCTGCAAACCAGTAACTAAGGCCACATAACGACAACACCTGCGCCAAAGGGAAGCCAGGTGCTCTGGACTTCATACAGTATGTGGAGTCTGTGCTCGTACTCACCTCGATCCATTTCTGCGCCTCCTGAAACGCGGAGTCTGCGGCCGACTCGGTCACAGGGTGATGCTGATGAGACGGTCCAGTGTCTGAAACCGGACTTGCCATTGGCGAAGAGGCTCTGCTCTCCAACTATTGCAGCCTGTGGTAATGTGTAACAGCAGCTCGGTGCCGCGTTATTCCACCCAAACGTGTCTGGAACCGTGTCGGTCAGCCCGCTCTCCTCCGTCGGTTGTAGGTGTTGCAGCAGCAGCAGCAGCAGCTCCTGCTCCTCTCCGGTAGCCTCCTGCTGGAGTCTGTGGGCAGCCGACCGCAGTCAGGTTAACTACAGACACTCAGGGCTTCCGGTGGGACGGCCCAAAATAAAGGTTTCACTTTATAATATAATATCACAGACTGCGTAACTGTTGGCATTCAAATATAACACACATACATTACAGTATTACAGTTAATACAGTAAAAATCAACCTTACTAGGATTTAAAGATCTTTTCAGCATTTTTTAAAGTCATTTCACTGAAAACTGACTGCTAGCTTAAGTTAGCTAAGTTCTAGCTAACTTATTATTATTATTTTAGCTAAAGTTAGGTTCTTGATTTACATTAACATTAACTATTTAACGATAATGTAAAACGTTCACTGACAGTGTGACAGAAAGGTGGATTATTAGGAATAACTAACTAGTTAAATTACACCTTTAAGACTTTAAAGGTACTAAGGACTTATTGCAGCTGTAAGGTTGAACAAAGTCAGGAGAGACATAAGAGAAGTTTAGTTACAGTTAATTCACCTGCAGGTTAATACGTTAGCATTAGCTAACATAGTTTGACTATCCAACCTTTTCAGTGACAAACATTTACAAACATTTACAAACATTTACAAACAAAACGTTGTGCCTTAATCGTTTTTACATCTAAGTTAAGTTAGCTAAGACTTTAAAGTTACAATAGCTAGATTACCAATGATTAAGGTTAACAGTGGAGTCACATAAATCAGTGTCTGTCTGTCATATAGAGTTAATTTAGTAACTAAGGTCCCTGAAGTTAATGTGTCTTCATGTTTGAACAGACCAACAAATTGCATTATTATTTACACATTTTGAGTGAGCACAGAAAATATGAACTTACACACTAAAACATAAGATTAATTAAGATAAGTGGATGTAATAGATATAATAAATATATAATAATGTAAAACACCTTTTCATTTTGGAGGTACTTTGTACAGGAAGGAGATAGTGTCACATGCATTGGTCATATGGCTACAATGTTTGTTTCGGATGAGAAAAACAAACAAACAAAAGAATGAGAAACCTCTAAATTCTTTAAACTTTAAAGTCTTCATTAATGTGCAGCCCATCGACGGTCCGGCCTAATATTCACCTTTCTTTAAATTCCTCCCTTTAACACCAAACCCAGGAGAAGAAGTTTAAACTGGATACATTTGTCATGTTAAAAAAACATCACCTAACAACTGTGACTATGTAGGAAACCCAGTGCCGTAGATAAATGGATTAACACGTTGTGCTCTTCATTTCCATGAGCCATCCATTTGTCTGTTATTACTGCCCACTTGCCTCCACTGCGACAGCCATTTGTTTGTGCTCTTATTTTGGCTGCTTCCGGTAGTATTTGGCTGTTCCTGGCTAACTTGACGCAGCTGGACTGACAGGACTTGCACACCGCAGTATGATTCGCTTTAATGGCCAAAAATACACCGAACAGCGCCGCTCCACCAGCAGCCAATGAGGGCAGCAGCACACTGGGGATCCCACACCCACTTTCACTATGTGGGGCAACTGAGAGAGCAGAGAGTTCACTGAATTAACGCAAAGGCACCTAAAACAAGGGGTCAACTCTGACCTCTCCAGTTATTGGTGTTATAAGGAAATGAACAGAAGTATACTAGCCTAGGAAATGTCTATAGCTTTGTTAATTAATCTATTTCATACCACTTGCATCAGTTTGATTCTGGTCCAATAAATGACAAATTAGCAATTTTGCTTGTAAAAAGTTGGGTAAACTAAGTTCACCTGGGTTTTCCAACATGGGAGAACTTTTTATTTTGGCCCATTCATTTTGTTTTAAAGGCAGCCCTAAACCTCATGCTGAATTAGCTCATTCCTCTCCTGATTAATGGTAAACTGTAATTTAATTCCCTCAGTCAGTCACATCTTAATTCTTCTTGTCTGGGCTGTTGGCTGTTGTGGAGGACATAATAAATTGCTTCAATGCAGACGAATGCCACTGCATAATAAGCAAGCCTGCACTTGAACTCCAGGAAACATTGTTTTGTAATCTGTAATCTGCAATTTGATATCTCGCCCGCTTCCCACCTGTAAACACAGTCTGTTGTATTTGCTGGAGTGCACCACCAAACCAGATGTTCAACCGCTGTGTTAAGACATTTCTGAAACATGCCCAGTGAAATACATGCCCGCTTCGTCTAATGAAATATATATATTTTTAACATCCAACATAGTAAGTCAACATGATCAGGGGGATTTCTCAAAATGAAAATACACACACAACTAATTTAAACTTTTCATCACTATACAAAACAACATTAGAAGCTAGTTTATGTAACTGTGTCGGTACTTTAGGAGAACCGAGGTTAGTCAGGACGTTTCCAGTGACTGTGACACAGGCCTGGTGATATTCTTACATCTTTGCTGACCTCTTGTGGAATAACAAACAATAACTAAATAAATACAGGACCCAATAAATAATATGCCATTGGATGCACCAAAAATGATATCAAAAATAAATATAGGCATTAATGAATTTATAAATGTGACATAAATTGATATTTATGTTCTAATCAGCACCTGTATTTAGTTACCTTTTGCATTTATTCCCCTATTTACTTACTTTCCTGTTTAATCTTATTGATTCATTGTATTCATATGACACATTAGATGTGGCCCAAAGATGGCTGTAGTATTCGGCTACTTTATGGCACATATGGCAAAACTGTGGCTGCAAATGTGGGTCGCTTTGGGCAAATATAAGTTTGCCCACACACTGGTAAATATGGCCCAAATAACAACAGACACGGGCCTCTTCTGGCACAGATGCAGCACTTCTGCTACTGGTTGTAAGCCTGGAGAGGCCCACATATGGCACGGCAAATATGTCCCGATTATTTCCCAACAGACTCGGACAACTTTTGGCAAATATTCGGCACAGTCAGCACCGGCTAATCTGGAACACTAGGACACATTTGAAACAGCTACATAGCCCAAATATCCTTGAACAGTATTGGGCCACTTTTGCCAAGACTGCAGCACTTTTGGCACCCACTGAACTGGATGTGGGTCTGAAGAGCCCTGCGTGTGATATTAATTATGGATTGGATTTATTTAGGGTTTATAGGGATCAGAAGTCTGTTCAGGAAAATGATTGTGACAAGGTTTCCTGGTGCTAAATGGAGAAACGTTACAATCAGGGTTAGTTTATTTTTACTGTGCTGTATGAGCCACTGGGGTGCCCCTATAACAAACAGCATGATGCATCTCTTCTACCTCGTGGTGCAGACCTTTCTCTCTGGCAGTGGCAGTGGAGCTCATCAGTTTCACACCTTTGCTTTGGGATTCCTCCCAGTGTTTAGTCTTTGACTCAGCAGCCTGGGTTTGGTGCATCATCCCCTTTCTCTTCCTTGAATCTTGTTCTCTGTTGCAAATCCATGTAGGGGACCCTGCTTTATTATAACCTTTATGTAACTCCGGCTAATGTCAGAGCAAGCTATTTGTTTTAAATAGTGTATCCTTTTATGATTTGAGCTTGAGTAAGATTACTACAAGCCAATGATCTGTTTGACAGGCTGAGCTGCAAATACTGCACGTTAAGATACTGTTCAGAACATTGTGACTGTCAGGTCCAGCTGATAATGACTTGGGCAAGTGTGTGTCCCCAGTGCTTTGTGCTGGGAGAAATGGTACTTGTGTATTGTAAATTAAATTCCACACCAATAAAGCTTGTTGGTGAAAATCTGACAGTTTAACTCAAATTTGATCTGGCTGTTCTAAGCACGGTTTATATCCCAATGAAGATTTGTCTCACTGATTTTCTCCAGTGTTCTGAAGGAGCTGCTCTCTGTGGACTGAGGTCGAATGGATAAAACAAGAGTCTATAAGTTGTCACTGACAATATATGTGTCCTCGTTCTTAAATTGTCTATACAATTCCAAATTGTACATTAAATGTTCTTTGTTTTCCCATATTTATGTTCCTTTTTTAAAACTATTATTATTATTTTATGTATTTATTTAGTCTATTTTTCTGATGTTGCCCGCCTGGCTATATGTTTAAAACTGTAAATTTTGTACTATGGTTTTAACTGTCGAAATGTGTAAGGTGCAATTTGTTAAATAAAGTAATTAAAAAAAAAATTTAAATAAAAAAAATCCCGCGAAGATCTACTCTGCCTCTGATTGGCTAATGCGTGCCTTCGTTCAGCTGGTTGGGTTAGAGTTAACCAATCAGAGGCCCAGTAGGGGCGGGTCTTCGCGGAATACAGGTAGAAACAGAAGTGACGCTGCCATTCAGGCTTTACGGTACACCGGGATTGGTCCTGTGTGTGTGTAGCTTTGTAAAGAGGGTGTGCTCATCGCCACTCCTCTCGTCTGTCCCTCGGGTTACTGTTTCCTGGATCCTCAGTGTCTAAAAGTCATGCGTTGTTTTCATTCAGCTGTTGTCTTTATGCTGCTGAGCTGCTTGACTTCCAGGAGTGACAGTCCCATCTGTGTTTGACAGGAGTCTCCTCTAACCTGGACGGACAGCAGGGCGGTTTGGCAAGTATTACACCTCTACTGATATGTTCATTACTTATTAGTTAACTATGTCTGAACAGTTCGCTTCAGACAATGTTCATTTTCTGTGTTCTAATTGTTTTAATAGTAGAATATCCTGAATCACATTCTTCCAGTTTTAAAGTAAAGCAACATTAACCATGTGTGCTGATGTAATATTAGAAAAATTGTAATGAAGTTGTATATTCACTCATTTCTTTATTTATTACAAAATATATGAATTAAAAGCTGCAGGGATTTTGTGAAATTGAAGTCTATTCCACTGTGTAGTGTTTTGTATGTCATCACGCTTATGGTTGTTTAGTCTTCAGTGTCTGTAAAAAGAGGTACACTTATGGAACCACAAAGACATACACTAATGACTAATAACTAATAATGTAACACACAAAATTTGATAAAATCAAATCACTTCCTAACTCTCTGTAGAGGCCTATCAACAGAAATGTAGGTGCAGTGCGATCTTTTTACTATTTGAGTTGATGCTGTGGTGGATTTGACTCTAAAGGATGGTTGAGAGTCTGCAGGTTTTGGTTCCAGCTGAACAGCAGATTTATTCAGTCAAGGCACTTGCTCTCTTATTTCACTAGAAGTAAAATTGTACTTTTTACCGGTTGCCAGATTAAGGACCAGTGTGTATGATTAGTAGCATCTACTACCGGTGAAGTTGCAGATCACATCGCTGCCATCTGTATATGACAGCCTGGGAAGGAGGCTGTGAAGTGTGTAGGAGAAAACTACAGTGGCAGAGAAACTCGTGAAAAACATGAAAGGCCCAAACTACAGCCAGTGTTTGGTTTGTCCATCCTGTTTGTCCTCATTCTAGGGTAACAAAAACACAGTGATACTTATATTAGGGGTTTATACACTAATGAAAACACACCTATTAATATTATATTCTCTTTCTGGCAATAGATCCTCCTAAATGTTAGCGGTAACCGGGACTGACTGAATTTGAATAGCTAAAATCTAAGTTATAACAGATTTGCCACTTTTTTTTCCAAGTCTCATAACTTACCTTTTCAGTTCAGTTAACCAATTTCAGTTTCTCTTCTTCTACAGGGTTTTCGACAGCTCTTCTTACTGTCCTCTTCACAGCTTTTGAAATGTGGCTCATGGTTGTTTCTGTGCCGCTGCTTCCTGCCATCATCATGGTATCCACTCGTTATCGTGACAAAGTTGCCGCGCTGTGCCATCGAGCTCTGGCCTGGGCACTGAGGACGCTGCGAGGGAGAGTGTGTGTTAGGAGCACCCATGCGTTCGTGTTCTCCAAATGCACCCACGGCAAAGTTGACAGCGTCCTGGAAACCTTTGACCTTTATGCTGACACACACCCCTCCTTCAGCATCGGTCCACAGATTGGTCAGTATGCATTTGAATCACTTTATTGAGCTTTTAGTGCTTTAAATTACGAGACATTAGGCCTCATGCAGTGACGTTCTCTTAAATGTCTCTTATATTTTCTCTTAAAAGGATAAATAAGAGGAGTCAACATCAGATTCACCAACGACCTTAACCACTTGATCAAAAATTGAAGGCGTTTGGCCAATTGTTTGTTATAAGCATAGGTAACACCCCCAAACACTAGATAGAATTAAAACTTTGCATCACAGAAATGTTTACTGTCTGTGTAACTTTTCTTTGCTATAGACATCTTACATCTAACTGCATATCTATCAGCCATAAGTCCCTCACACTGTATTAACAATACAGCACTCAAGGTTGTTTTTTTCTTCTTCTTACCATTACTATATTCTGCCCTCAGGTGATTGGATTGAAAAACATTAGCTTTGGAAACTGGCGCTTTTGAAATTGTCCACAGTGAAAAAGAAAAATCAGTGTCCAGGTCAATAACATGAAAAAACATGAAACATGGAAAGGATATGATGATGAAAAGTAATTATCAAGTTGTATGTGTTTGCATTTATGGCACAGCAGCATCAATGACTGTAAATGACGACTATACTCTTCTGGTCAAAGCTGATGAATCTGATGTCATCTGTCCTAGGTGAGGCATTGGATGAGGTGGTGAGGCGTGTGCGTCCCTCCCGGGTGTTGGAGCTGGGGATGCACTGTGGCTACAGTTCAGTCCGCCTGCTGCGTCTGCTGCCCCCTGCTGGCAGACTGATCACAGTGGAGCTGGACCCACTCATAGCAGATCTTGGGGAGGAAATCATACTTGTAGCTGGTTTTAAACACTCACAGGTATGGCCAGGAAGGATTAGCTGTCACTACATTCAGATAAAAGTATAATAAAAGTGGCAAACCTACCGGAGGAAAGTAATTCCATTTCCCTGTGCTCTTCTCATTCTTTTCAGTTCCAGGTGTTGACATCTAGCTCAGCTGAAGCCATCCCAACATTGCGTCCATTCCTTGAGCCTGATCGAGGGACCAGTGAGGGGTTCAATCTGGTGCTGATGGACCATGACCCCAGTCAGTACCTTCCAGACCTGCTGGCTCTGGAGAGAGAGGAGCTCCTCAGCCCCTCCGGCTGCTCTGTCCTTCTGATCTACAGGAACCAGAGACCTGAAGATCTTACAGAAATCCTGGGTCACATCAGAGCGAAGCCCGACTGCTACTGCATCACATCAGAGCTTCAGTTTATGACGGAGATCTTCTACCAAAAGGAAAGCACGAGGGTAGATAGGTGACAGGAAAATCTAAAGATGTGGGTGTTTGCTTTCAGTCTGTGTGGACTACACCAAGCAGTAGTGTTAAATACTTCATTGTCTCTAGTATTATTTATGGGTCAAAGGATTGGAGGATTAAAAAATATGTGCTAAATAAATGATTTTTTATCATTTGTCAAACTACTTTTTTCCCGTGTATGACTCTAGGGAAGAGACAACACCGTTTTTATCTTTGATTCAAAGTTATTATTATTAGTAATGAAACATGTGAACCGTATTACAATGGTGGTACGTAAAACAATATTCTTGCTATAAATGAGTATTGCTGGAAATATTTTAGGGCAGAAAAGGAAAATATGATTTTGTGCATATTTAATGTTTTCTGCAGCTTTATCATATTAAGCCTCCACATGACAAACAAAAGCAAAGATTACAATTACAGTTACCAAATACTGCTTACCTTTGTCATACGATCACAAAGCTGCTCACAACAAAAGAAACAAAGAAAAAATTACTAGATGTAGAGCACATAGTAACCACTTGATGGTGCTCTCTACTTAAAAAAAAAATGTAACTCAGGCATTGAGCTGGTTTTGACAAAGCAATCTTCTAAAGGGAAATGCCACCCATTTTATTATTATTATTCCTGCACCTCAGGACAGCTCAATAAATACTTAAACCTAATTTCTTTTGGAAAAGTTAACCTCTGAGTGTGTGATGGAAATACACCTTATGTGTCCTGATTCAATCATGGTGAGCAGTCTTATTTTGACGAACACTCCCTCTTGTGCATGTTGGGATATTTGCTTTCACACTTATTTTTATTTACTTTCAGATTTACTTTCAATGTAAATGTTTATCACAAATAAAGTATTTTAGGAGAAACTGCTCCCAGTAACCCGCCTCCCCTCCCTTCCCCCCTTCCCCCCTTTTCAGCATTCTTGCCCTACCTGCCATAATGTCTGAGATTCAGTGTCCCAGCAAGCACTGCATCTTTAATGAGGAGAGTCAGTGTTGTCTTGTGGGCTGAACTCAGATGGAGTTTTCCAAATTTCCCTCTAATGGCACTGCAGAGGCTTTCAAAGCAGCTGGAAAGCCATTACATGGTTTAAAGACAATTTACTGCAGAATTTAAATAAATAATATATGTGTGCAAAAACACTATTAATTAAAGGCAAAATTTCGAGGAGCACAGTGGTGGGTTTAGACTCAAGGTGGCAATTGTTACACAACAGCGAGGTGAATGCTGTAATAACCAAAATTATACAAAGTTAGAGGGGACACTGCCATAAAAGAGAGACGGATAGAAAAAGAGAGTGAGGGGAAGTGGTGGAAACTGTCAGCTATATAAATTTGAGATGGAGGTGAGGTAGTGCAAGGTAAGGGATGAGACATTTGGAAATCCATCCAGTTTAACTGTTCACTGTGAATGTCTCCACAGAGCAAAACAGGTAATGGAGCTGGCCAAATTTGATGGGCTGCATGAATACTTTATAATCTCATACATGGATCATTAGTCGCACTGCAGGGGAAGTGGTGATTGCATTTGCTGAAAATAGGAAATAACATAAGAAAGTAGACTACAGGCGTGTGTGGGTTATTGTCTGCTCCCCAACTGGTGATACTACTTCTGTTACTGAGGACTGCAAATGCATAAACAACCAACTGATTAGTATCCAAAGTTAGTCTCATAGTAATCAGTATCACAATATAACTCCTTTAACTCCAAATGTAGATGTGTGTCATTTGGAAAAAGGTGACGCCCACTCTAAGGCAGTGATTGTGTGCATGGAAGTGAAGGCACTGAATGTTATGAAAGCTGATTAGCAATCTGGAGCGTCTCACTTAGAAAATAGCAACATTCAGGGTGGGTGTAATCATCTGCGAGGATTTCTTTCATCTGTTTGAAAGGAGTTTGCAGTTTGTGTTTTGGGATTGAAAGATTCAAGTCTTTGGATTCTGTTATCTAGCAAAGTTTGTTGTCTTTGTAAATATTTGCTGCAAGTTTCTGAACCAGCATATGTATACTAGTTTTGATTATAAGCTGATATTCCAATTTAATAAAGAAAAACAACAGAATTCAAATGCAATTTAACTAAAAGGTGAAGGTGGCTGATTCCTTACTGGTCACATATTGGTGGACACATGTATTTTGGGTTGGGTCAACCTGTCATGCTGATTTCATGTTGTTATTTACATATTTGGCTCTCTGTAATGCAGAGAGAGATAAAGCCTCTTTGATGCTAGCAGGCATTTTAGATACACTGGCAAAATTACAATCATTTTAGCTGTCCCCAGCATGTCCCCAAATGGCCAGTGTGTAATGTGTAATTACACAAAGCAGACCAACTTTAATGATAGCTCATTAGCTTCCACCACCATCTCAGCCCAGATATCCTCCCAACTTCCCCACAACACAAGCGTTAGAGCCAAGACGTGGTCAATTTCTCAGCTGTCAGATGTGATTTAACATTTCCTTGCCCTCCTTTCAGAGTGTCACTGGTCTATACACAATGATGTACAAGCAAATGTAAACACCATGCTGTATGAGCACCCCAACCTTCGCCCCTTCCTCCAAGTTCCCCCCAAAAAGTCCTATTTTAATGGGGTTCAATTTCCGGGTTCCTCTTTCGTCAGGCTATAAACTGCTCTCTGTGCCATGAAGGCTGGAGAACTGATGTAAACACAGCTTTCAATTATAAATCAAACTCTAAAAGAGCCACGCTCCACTGCCCTCCGGCTCTCTGCACAAAGACTCAGCCTTCATACCCAAACACCCCACATCGCACTGCTGGGAATTTATGGCCAGCTACTTACCAGGATAAATTCACAACTGAGACCTCTTCAGTGGTCTTGAGTGTCAAAGTTATGCATAGAATGTTATGCTCATCTTTTGTATATGTTGGCTGCTGTATTATTGATATTATTCTATACTACACTTAAAGCTGTGGTAGGCAGGCAAAGAATCCATTATAACCTTTCAGCATATTGTAATTCAATTGGTCTGAGAGAACACTAGACTTCTGCTCTGCTTTCAGGCTTTAGAAAATTTAGCCCATAATGGGAGACTTAAGCCAATCACAGGTCAGTAAAATAGTTGATTGTTGATTGATTTATTGAAGTCTCAAGTGTTAGTATTTGACGACATGGAAATGAGAATCAACAACTTCGATCTCTCTCCAGAATTGCTTACTGCACCGCTAAAGCAGATGGTTTGACAGTGTGGGCAGTTGAGCTAGATTTGTGTTGATTTAAACAATTTCATCAAACATACACTGTGTTATTCTGTACATCAACTTATTATAATTTCATGCAAAATACAGTACATTTTTACTTCTGAATCAATACCTCCAACCTGAATATGGTGATACATTGTAATTGCAGTCGACAAACTAGATATGCGTTTTTTGATCCAACCGCTCTATCAACAGAGTGATGTTGTTTTTCACTTCCTTTCAAAATGATGCAACTAAACCTTACAGAGATTATTCATCTGATCAAAAAGCACCTGCTTATGGTTAAATGAGGTTAGGAAAAGATCATGGTTTGGGATTCAAAAAATACTTCAGTACAGTTATCCCAATAACAAATGACAGTGAGGTGCAGTTGAAAGCTTTGGATGATAGCTAGTAAGTGGTCCTTTTCTTTAGTTTTTTGGTCATTTTGGAGCAGCAGAAACAAGCTGTAATCACAACATTGACATATGATTATAAGCAAACAGTTTTTTTCCCCCCAGCAGATAAGGAGCAACATTACCATTCATTTGTGTTCACTGTCCTTTTAGCTCTGTTTCGGTCTCAACCAACTCTTAAGGAAATTATCTGGCTCTTTATCTGCTAAATGCTCCACTATGTTCACAAGCTAAGTTTTTCTGTTTGCCATTTGGTGCAGTGCATTTAGTGTACAGTGGAAAAAAGCTATTTTACTGAAAACAACTTCCTGCTATTGCTTGAAGCGATGCTGATGAAGCAAAACAGTAAAGCAGAGGGCCGGAAAAACAAACAAACTAGTACAAAGACACTGAAATGCTCCATAAAGCTGAGGGGAACTGCAGGGTCATGTTATAATTATCTGTGGGTTTTCATGACGAGCGACACCTTTCACATCAAATAAATATGGGATCCATTGTTAATATAAAAATATTGATTATAGCCACGTTAAGGTTAGGAAACTATCATAGTCATAGCTGTTGGTGAAGATGAGATATAAACAGCAGTTTCCTGTATCATAGCAATAGCACAATACTTTCATGCTTGCTCCTGAAAAACAAGAGTCATTAGGGCAATTCAGGCATTATAGAACCAACCGATGCTGTCGTTTTATGAGGACGGTCTCCATGGGATACACTTCATGAAGCCATTTAAATTTTTAAAATCTTTCCAAGACTATTATTGTTTATTTGGTAGGGTTGAATTGGCCCACATCTGCATCAACAATCCTCTATCAGTTATGAAAATTTGATGGTGGTGTAAATCGTTTTCTTTTTACATCAGTAGCATAAACACTTGTTTACACCAAAGCTATTTAAAATGCACACCATGTTTCTTCTCAGGCAGTGAAGGAACAAAGCCTTCCCCCCTGTGTCTGGTTCATCAACTGGAGTGGGCAGAGCAAAAGGGGAAAGGAGACTCATGATGGCCTCTCCAGAGACTGAGAGACTTCTATATTTGGTACACTGATAGCCTGCAACCCCATCACACACACCACCACACACACATGCACACAGAGCATACTTGATAATGTTCACCTCAAGGTTGTGTAACGATGCTGTGTCCTCACATCTGACTGCTGTCACTTCATAATCTTGTTCCTCCAACATGTCATCTTTTCAGGAGTGAGGACACAACTTTATTTTTAGAATGTCAGCTGTATATTTTTAGGATATTAGAGTTGTTTATGAAAAATGTAATAGGTTTGGAGTTTGTCACAGGTTTCCTACCTGTGTGTACAGTATGTATCTGCACTATTATGCGTATGTGTCTTACTCTATATATTTTTTTATTTATGTACCTATCGTTTTACCTGCAGAGACATTTTAAATGCAACTATATTTATGATTTCACTGGATATAAAATATATTGTGCTAATGGATGCTTTAACATATTCTGTGCCTACCACCTCCTTTTATTCACACAGTTTCAAATGATCAATGGTGATATGTTTACAATGTCT